AGACCTGACATGACAGGTCTGCAGCGTCTGCAGCTGCTCCCTCCGAAGTCCCCATACATGCCACTGGCCAGGGTTCAGGACAAGACTCACCCTCAGTGTTTTGTATCCTGAAGGCAGATCCTACCTAAAGGAAAAGGAAAAAAAAGAAAAAAGTGTTAACCTTGTTTCTCCAGGCACTCCCTAGAGAACCTAGGAAGGGTGATAACATAGATTTAAAAACCAGAGAAGAATGGCTTATATGCTTCCATCTCAGAGGGTTGGGGGGGGGCCCCAGGGCAGCAAAGGCTGAGGGTGTACCAAGCTCCACTGTCCAGCTGCCATCTGCTCTGTGACCCTCGAAGCTTGGTTCCTCATCTGTACAACGGGTACAATGCCAGGCATGGTGGCACACACCTGTAATCCCAGCACTTTGGAGGCTAAGGCAGGAGAATCACCACGAGTTTGAGGCCAGTGTAGGCTATATAGTCAGTTTAAAACCACCCTGAACTCCACAGTGAGACCTTGTCTCAAATAATAAAATAAAATAAAATAGGGCCGGGGATTTAGCTCAGTGGTCTCACTGCCTGCCTTGCAAGTGCAAGGTCCCAAGTTCGATTCCTGGTACCAAAAAAATAAAATAATATAGAGATGATAATAATACCCACCTCGCAGGCTTTAGAGGACTTTAGGGATAACACATACAAATGACTGCTCTGATGTTAATTACAAGTATGGCAGTAGCATCTAAGTAAAGCTATTGATTTGTTTTGTTTTTATTTTTTGAGACAGTGTCTCCCAGTGTAGCCCAAGCTGGCCTTGGAACTTGAGGCCATCCTCTTGCCTCAGCCTGAGATTACAGGCTGCGCCACCACGCCCAAAGTAAAGCTCTCGTCTGGCTTTCCCACAACACAAGAAATCTCAGAAATTGGTTTTTGTTGTTTTTTTTAATCTGAAATGCTTCTCCTTCCTATCCATCTCCATCCAGCCCCAGGCCCACTTCCTCTGCACAGCTGCCTCTAATCCTGAGATGTTACCTGTGCTCCTGATTCTGGGGCTCTGGCTCCTCTCTTATTCTGCAACTTGACACTAATGAAGTATTCCTACGTGACCTGCCACAAGTCTCCCATTTTCCTTCTGTTTCCACAAACCTTTTCCTGCAGAAGACCCCTCCCCACCATGTGTAAGAGAACATCCCATATTCGGGCCCACAGAGCCCACGGGTAGAGCCACTTTTCAGAGTTTACAGACTGCTTATTTTCCAAAGGCCACACCTGTGAAACAGCTCAACCCACAGGTTGATAAACAGCACAATTGGGCTGGGGACTTAGCTCAGTGGTTCCACCGCCTGCCTCGAAAGCACAAGGTCCCGAGTTCAATTCCCCATACCAAAAAATAAAAATAAATCAACAGCGCAATGGAGACATACACCAGTGAGCCATCAAAGGGACTGAGTGCATGTTTAGAGAAAACCAGTTGTCTTGGTAAATTATGTCCAGGCTGAAACTGAATATGTGAATATCTGAAATATTTACTGAGTTCACGCTTTGCACTAGGAACTATGCCAGAAGACACAGGCTGTCCCCAAAAAGTAAGTTAAACTGTTGGTAGTCAACTTTAGAAGACAAAAATGGGATGCCACGTGAGAGATGAGAAGAGACTCAGAGCCTAAAAGTCTAGGGCAAGTCCCAGCCATGTCACTTCCCAGCCATGTGACTCTGAGCAAGTTATTTCACCTCTGTGTGTATAATGGGGCTGACAAAGACCCCTGTCACCACATAGAGCACACACACAGGTTGGCTTTTATTACTATTGACAATAAACAGCTATTTATCATCATCAGTATTATTAAAAGTGAGAGCCCTCATCTGGCTGAGTAGATTTGGCAAGGCTTAATACAAGAAAGCCTTGAGGACCAGGGAGGTAGCTCAGTGGCACCGCACTTGGCTGGTCCTGAATTTGATCCCTGATACTGGGGGGTTGGGGGGAAGCCTTGAGTCTTAAGGAGTATTTTAACTTTGACAAAAAAAGGCCCTGCAGAAAGCAGTCATCAGGAAGGAGAGCAAAGAAGGGACAATAGCAAATGAGCTTGGGGAAACAAAATAGTCTCATAGAGGGGCTGAGGTGAGCCCAACAGGTAAACACCACATTAGAGAGCCTTGAATGCTAAGCCCAGGAAAGCCTCTCATTCAATAAGAGGAAATAGCTTGTTCTTTTTGTCACTTTCCTGCCATCTACTAGTAGCCCACCTCTTCTGGCAAATCATCCACAGCTAACACTAAAAGGCAACCAAGAGAAAGAGATAATGGGATGGCCAGACAGGCCTAGGTGTGGTTTCCATGCGTGGGAGCAGGCAACATGTCTCACTGCTGCGAAAGATGTCCCCAAACAAGAAATGGCCCCAAAGTAGGCACTTTCAGGTAGAAAGTGTAGGGGTCCCTTCAAAAGAGGGTAGGGAGCTACTGGGAGGCAGACAGAGAGAAGGTCTACACTAACCTCCACTGAAAACACTGACAACATCGACCTATAAGTGGTACCTGGCTTTCAGGAAGAATGCTAGAAAGAGGTGGGACTTCCTCTCAGACCTCTTGTCAGTGGCACTGGTCACAGCAGCCAAACGTGACTCCTTTCCATCTTCTCTAACTTCCATTCTTCTCTCCTCACTGGCTCTCCATTTGAGCTATTTTCTACTAATTTATCCAAACCTTTTATTAAGTGCCTACTTGTTTCCAGCACTATGTTAGGGACTGCAAGGACACGATGAAGAGGGACACAGACAGCAGTGACATAGAAGGAGAGATGTGAGTCTGAGGTCCAGAGTGATGTTGGGAGGACAGGCACCCAGCACAGTGCCTGGGGTCCTGGAAGTCACACAGAGGAAGCAAAGAGCAGGGCAAAAAGAGGGTGGGCAGCCTGCATTGGTAACTCAAGGCAGGAGGGATCCACCAAGGGTCACCAGGGGAGACCCTGGAGGTGAGGAGTGCCACAGGGAAGGATCAGCCAGGCTGCAGCAAGCTTTGGGAAGGAGAGAAGGTGCAGAAGGTTACATGGGGTAAGCTGGGGAGACTTTGGCTGGCAGCCTAAATTAATTCAAAAAACAGGCATTGAGCAACCATACTGAACAGAGCCCTTTCCCTAAGGGCAGGGCACAGGCCTTCCATGAGGAAAGAAAGGATCGCTGGACATGGCGGCACAAGCCTGTAATCCCAGCTACTTGGGAGACTGAGGCAGGAATATTACAAGTTCAAGCCCAGCCTGGGCATCTTAGTAAGATCCTGTCTCAGAATAAAAGAAAAAAAAGAAGGCTGAAGATGTAGCTTTGCATGCCCTGGGATGGTGAGGCACAGCCATGTAGCCCTGTAGTCCCAGTTACTAGGGAGGCTGAGGGAGGCATGAGGTTCATTTGAGCTCATCAGTTTAAGACCAGCCTGGACAACAGGGTGAAACAAGAGAGAGAGAGAGAGAGAGAGAGAGAGAGAGAGAGAGAGAGAGAGAGAGAGAGAGAGAGAGAGAGAGAGAGAGAGAGAGGAGAGAGAAGAAAGAAAATGGAATAAATTGGAGGAAAGAAAGAAAATAGCTCACAAAAGTGCATATTTAGCATGTTGCTCAGGTCTCTAGGTTTGATCCCTTGCATAAAAGGGGGGAGGGGTCTCAAGGAACCTCCTGGAACACAAATGGATACAATCTTCAGCTGAAGCCAGCTGCTGAGCCCTCCAAGCCCAGTCAAGCAGGCAACTGCCTTTGGGTCCAGTCTTACTTCCTCACTGTCTTACCTGCACTTTATCCTCACCTGGTTACATCTCCTGTGACCTGCAGAGTCCTCTTGTAACCTGCTATTTCCTCCACATCCTCCTTCCACCTCCTTCAGCTTTCCTCTCACAGGTTCTAAAACTCAAGTCTCTTGCATAATAAGACCTTTGCCACTCAAATCTAACATTTGCTTCACTGCCAATGGCATCAAAAAGGTTTACCACTCACCACCTCCAGGAAGCCAGCTCAAATTCATTCCCTTCTATCCTCAAGGCCATTTCTCCTCTGCCTTGCTTTACGATGTGGTCTGTCCTGATTTGTGAACTCCAATGAACTTCCTCTTCCATTCCTCCTTTGAGCTACACCTTGCTCTCTCTCCAGCTTTCTACAAATGTCTGTGGTGTGTTCACTTGCTGCTTGGGGTTTTTTCTCTCCTCTAACCAGTTTGTTGGCAGGATCAACCTCATCACCTACATCATATCTCAGCACCGAGCCTAGGGCTCTGAACATGGTAGGTATGCAAAGAATATGATTAAGAGTTATGGTGGTGCATGCCTATAATCCCAGCACTCAGAAGACTGAGGCAGGAGGATCGCTGTCAGTTCGAAGTCAGTCTGGGCTGCATAGTGGGTTCAAGTCCACCCTGAGCTACATAGCAAGACCTTGTCTCAAAAAACAAACAAGACTCCAAGAGTTAAGATGAAGAGGCAAACAGAAAGCTGCAGCTGCAACTGAAAAGCTGAGCACATCCCACAAGGATTTGGATCACATACAGGGAAAGGGTGAAATGGCAGAGGCCAGCCAGGACTAGGGGTGGCAGTGGATAAGGGAGTGACATGGAAGACACATGGCAAAGATTCTGGGGCCTCTAGTGACCCTGCAAGTGTTGGCATTTCTCAGAGCCTCAGTTTTCTCAGCTGCAGAACGGGTTAATGAGCCTTGGCCTACCACTCTCACGAAATGAAGAGGCAAACCGATTGTTAAGAAGTCCAAAGATCCCAGAGACCCAGGGACTTGGCTTAACTCCATCATTTGTGAGATGAAGAAAGAGCTTTCCAAAGGCAAAGTAGGTAAAGTAGTCACACGAGGAGGAACATGCAGGGCAGGTCATCAAAGCCAGGACTACTGCGTTCTTGCCCAGGAGGGCACTTATTGAACTCAATTCATCAACTACGAAAAGTTGTAGAAATAACAGGCTGAGCCCAGCTTCACCTCCTGAGAGGCCTTGGGCAAATAAATCACTGCATCTAAGCGCCTTACACTTTCTTCTACATCTGAACCAAGGTAGAAGCCTCGATTCCACTACATGAGGCAGAGAGCAGACAATCGTAACAAAGAAAATGCTCGCCTCAGACGTCACAGCTTTCATATATCCTCTATGACGGGAGCACAGATTTGGGTGCAAACATTCAGGGACCTAGAGCGATGCATTTCAGAGCTCCATGCATCAGTTTCTCTATCTGCAAAATGGACAGAAGAGCAGGATTGAGGTCGCCAGCAGCCGCCAGGCGGGCAGAAGGAGGTGTCGCCCGCGCAGGAGGGATGCAGGTTGGGCGGCGGGCCCCGGGCGGCATGCGGTGGGGCCCAGGCAGACAGGCAGGGGGCAGGTCCGCACCGTCCGTGTCCCAGCGGGAGGGGGAGGGACGCCGCACGTCCTGTCGTGTCGCGACGCACGCTGCCGTCTCCTAAAGCCGCCACTCGCGGAGCCCGCTCCGCTTTCGCGCGGGCGACCCTTACATAAGCGTCCCTGGCGGAGGCGCCGGAGCACGCCCACCCGCTCCGACCTGCCTCTGGAAGAGGAAGGACCAGAGCGCCGCGGACACTCACCTCCTCCCCGCCGCTGTAAGTCGTCGCCGCCGCTTCTAAGGCTACTGCCGCCACTGACAGGGAACAGCTGCGGTCTCCGCGCAACCGAACTTGCTGCAGTCCTGGCCCCGCCTCACGGACTTCTTATTGGTCCAGGCAGCCCAACCCCTCCTAGTATTGGGCAGTAGTCTCCGTCACTCACTGCTCCCCCGCTCAGGACTCCTCCCTATGCCCGCCTACCCGTCCCGTTTAAGCCTTGGCGCCCCACGTCAGCCCCGCCCCTCTCATCCCCGGTTGGCCTCTGGATTGGCGGCGAGGCGAAGAGAGCCCGCCCTTGGAGAACCACCGCCTACTCCTGGTGTCTCGGCAGCCTCACGTGTGCCTCGGGGCCGCGCCCCAACCCGCAATAGGCGGAAGTGGCCCGGTACCGACACGTCGTGATTGGCTGTCAGCGGGGGTGGGGACGTGCGATTCATTCACCCGAGTAGCACGTGTCTCCCCAAACCGCAAGCACAACAGAAGCTGCGGTGCTCTGGCATCCCGGCTTAAACCCGAATACACGTTAGAGAGTGGAGAAGTAGTAGCGGGAAAAGCATTTTCGAAGGGCGGAAGGAAGGAGAAAGCCTTGGTGCCACCTGGCCTTACGTGATTGCTTCCTTTAGCAGCGATGTGGGTGTTGATGGTGGTCAGCAGTCTGCCTGTGTCACCTTGGGCGAGTAGCTTCATCTCTGCCTGTGTCACCTTGGACGAGTAGCTTCTTCTCTCTGAGCTTCTGTTTTTTAATGTGCAAAGCGAGCCCCTCAGGACCTAAGGGGTTTAGAAGTCTTGGTTGGCATACAGTAGAAAATCTTAAATTGGGCTCTGTGCCAACCAGGGAATAGAGAAGTGACCAACACAAACCAAAATTTCATCCTATGAGTGAGAGGAGACTGACAACAAACAAAATATACAGTGCATCAGATGGTGATCAGGACAAGGAGAAAAAATAATTTGCTGCAGAGAAGAGGATCAGGGAATGTGAGAACATCGTGTTAACTAGTAATTGCTTTTTGAGCAGGGAGAGAGATACTGTATTATGACTCCCTCTTCTTGGACTTTATTATGTATTACGTAAAGAATTTGTCATGCCAGACAGGCATAGTGGCACATGCCAGTAATCCCAGCACTTGGGAGGCTGAGGCAGAAAGATCGCTGTAAGTTCAAGGCCAGCCTGGGCTACATAGTGAGTTCAAGGCCAGCCTAAACTACATAGTGAGACCCGGTCTCAAAAAACCAAAAAGAAAAGAAAGAGAGGAAGAAAGAAAGTGTTTGTCATGCTAACTTCTTTGTCCTTCCTTCCACCTATCCTGCAGAACCCCAACCCTGGATGGATCCAACACAGCTAATTTAGCAGCACAACAGGGGTTTAAATTTCAATTTTCAGATACACACATTCTTTTGATCAGCATACACCTCTTGAGTACCTACTATTGTGCTTAGTGGTGGTATGCTGGAGACGGTGGTGGGCAAGAAATCTTAGAGCCCACATTCTATTGGACACCCAAGTCCGCTTTTTTGCGGGGGAGAGGTGGTAGTGGTGGTGGTACTGAGGATTGAACCCTGGGCCTTCACATTGAGCTACATGCCCAGCTTACTGTTTATTTATTTAAAGACAGGATCTCCCTAAATCTCTAACTACTGAGATTACAGGTGTAAATCACCATGTTTAGTTACTCTTTTTTTTTTTTTTCCTTTCAGGAAAAGAGTTGAAGCTATGTGAACTTGGGCATGTCCCCTCTCTATCTGGGCTGGATTTTCACATAAAACAGGTGAGACATAATGGACACAGAGTGTGATTTACTTATTGTCCCTATTACTCTTGTAGTCCATGCCTACCTTATGACCTTATCACTTCCTGTCTGTATCTTATCCCCCCAGCTGTGTGCCTGCAAGACATGGGTCCTTGTATCCTTCACAGGGCAAGGCCCTGCTTTAGGACTGGCCATTCAATAGGGGTGGGTGCAATAGTGACTGGGTGGCACAATTCTGGTTGTTCCCTGGGAACTCATGTTCAGATCAGAGAGCAAGTGGCTCCACCCATGTTCAGATGACTCCTACATCACCAGCAATTGATTTAGATCTGAACAAACAAATTAACTGAGGGCCGGACATGCTGGTGCACACCTGTAATCCTAGCACTCAGAAGGCCGAGGCAGTAGGATCATGAGTTCAAGGCCATCCTGGGCTACATGGTGAGTTCAAGGCCAGCCTGAACAACATATAGAGACCCTGTCTCCAAAAAAAAAAAAAAGAAAGAAAGAAAGAAAGAAATTGAGTAGAACTAGAAAATGGACTGTTGTGTGGATTCTTATCAGCTAGCTCCTGCATCTATATTATCTAGCACAATTAGACGGAAATACAAGGCACCTTCCCATCCAGCCTCTCATCCTACCCTCAGGATGAGTTCCCCAAAAGGACATAGTTGGGAAAGTATTTAATTCCAGACACAAAAACTTCTGCCTAGCCAACAGCTTGGATGTGGAGTCCACCATGGTTGGGAAAAACATTTCTCAGCTGGGCATGATGGTACAAACTTATAACCCAGAAGCACTCACGAGGCAGGGGCAGGAGGATCTGGAGTTCAAGGGCTATATATTGAGACCCTCTCTCAAAAAATAATATGAAGAAAAAGGAGAAGGAGGAGGAGGAGGCCATGGAGGAGAAGCATCTCTCTCTGTACCACCAGTGACAGAATCTCCTTGGTACCTGTTGCCTGTGTGAAACACAGATTGTTGAGCTGCGCCCCATCACTCTTATGCATATTAACCAGAGGCCTTGGAAGCATCAGCAGAGTCACCAAGGTCAATGAAACCCTTCTCCAGAAAATGAGAGCCCTGCATTGCATTGGTAGTTTTAGGAGCTTTCCAAATGGGTCTAATGTGGGTTGGTGTTGAGACCCACTGAAAGGCATAGAAAAGTATAGCCCCGACTTCCACTGTGGAAGAATGGCCCCAGCTCTTTAAAACCCAAACCAGACAGATTCCTGGACCTACCCCACCCCTGTAGATTATGAGTCAGTAAATCTGAGGCAAGGCTGGGAATCTTTTTAGTCATTTTTCCAGTTGTCTTTTTTCTTTCTTTTTTTTTTTTTTTTGGTACCAGAGATCAAACTCAGGACCTTGCGCTTTCAAGGAAGGCGGTGGTACCACTGAGCTAAATCCCCAGCCCTTCCTCTTGGCTTTTTAAAATCAGCCCCTAACTGATTCTAGAGACATGGGAAGCTTGGGAAACTGAGTTCTTGGGAGACTGAGGCAGACGGTGAGGCCAGACAGAAGGGCTGGCCAGGAGTTTGGCTCTGGCACACAGCACAGAAGCAGCAGGATTCTGTCAGGAGGGAAGTAATGTCCCAGAAGTCTGGAATGTAGCTCTGCCTATTGCTTCTTAGTGTTGTCCATTTTCTGGAAAGTTCTTGGGGTTTTTTGTTTGTTTGTTTTTCTTCTATTCCCCATCCCCTCCTCACATTTGAATATCAAGAATTGAGGGGGTTTTTGGGTTTGTTTTTCTTTTCTGAGACAGGGGTCTCACTGTGTAGTTCAGGCTGGCCTCGAACTCCTGACAATCCTCCTGCCTCAGCCTCTCAAGTGCTAGGATTATAGGCCTGTGCCACCATACCCAGGCAAGATTTGAGTTTAAACCAGATAAGGTGGTGCACACTTGTAATCTCAGTCAACACTCAGGAGGCTGAGGCAGGAAGATTTTGAGTTTGAGGCCAGCCTGGACTACATAGACCCTGTCTTAAACAAAACAAAAAAGAACTGATTTAGCACATAGAAGGTGCTTAATAAATAGTTGGCAAGGGCCAGGGCTTTAGCTTAGTGGTTCTGCCACCTGCTTTGCAAGCGCGAGGTCCTGAGTTCGATCCCTGGTACCATAAATAAATAAACAAATAAATAGTTAGCAAATAAAGCCATGGGAGTCATCTACTCATGCTTAGCAGTGAAAATGCCTGACATAGATGGGTCTGTCCCAGAGGCCAAGAGTCCAGTGAGAGAGGCAGGAGTCCAGAGGGCACCCACATTTAAGGGAGAGGGAAAGTGAAAGATGTAACAACCTGGAACAGGCCAGGGCAGGTCAAGGAGCATGAATGGTGAGGGGTAAACTCACCAGAGGGGACTTTGACAGCCTGGGCCAACCAGGAGGAAAATGAGATTCAGTCCCTGCCCAGCCTTTAGCACCACTCACTGGAGTGGGTGTGAACAATGAGCTGTCTTCCCTGTCTCAAGCTCCTCCCAGGCCAGTGGGGTATGGGGGAGGACAGACCACTAACCACTTGCCTTCAAAGCAGTGTAGCACTGTGCTGAAGATAATGACCAGAGGCCCAGGGACTCCAAGGAGGGGCCCCTGATCCCATGTGAGGGGGCTTGGAGGGCTTCCTGAAAGAGGCAATGCCTGCTTGCACAGAGAGAAGGGAAGGTGACTGTACTGAAAAACAATCCTATGCAGAGGGAAAGGCCCAGGAAAAGGCAGGGTGGCATGACAGGGTGGAGGAAAGGAGTGTCATGCCACTGCAGCACAGCAACAGAGCTCACCAGCACATTCAGGGAGCAGTGTGGAGGCCCAGGAGCAACTAGCAACAAGAAGAACAGAAGTCAGCAGCAGACACCCTGAGCCCAGGAACAGCCCACCCAGAGACCCAGATGGCTTCACCCTGACAGCTCACAGAGCAGCTGAGGTGTGGCAACTCTTCCCTCCCAGGATGGCAGAAGAGGAATGAGCAAGTTCTGGCAGCTGGAGTCTGGAGGGCCTGGCTGCCATTAAGAAGGCAGGGTGACCTTTGATGAAGAGCCAGGCCAGGCTGCTTGACCTCAGTGAAGACGCCTGAGACTGCAAGAGGGAAGGACAGAACACTCCTCAGGGGCCGAAATGTGTCTTCTCTTCTAAGCCACTTGGACCCCTTGGTGTGTGTGACAGGCCAGGGCAGCTCAGGAATAGCTCTTCTGCTCTTTTTGATATGTTTCCTTCACCCTAGGTCTGCGAGAGGGACAGGCCACTCCACTGGGGCCTTGGGATGGCTCCCTACACAACCACCACTAAGCCATGCTGCACTTTTGTGACAATGAGGGTGGCACTTAGTGGCCCCTTCTTAGGGCCACCTCCCATCAGCCAGGAGCATTTGTGCTGTGTGGAAATTGTACAGCTGTGTAAGACAGCCTTGTACCCATGCCCAGGTGAGGTTTTCAGGTTGGGGGACCCCCAGTACTTTCTCAACTGTGGTACCAGGTTCCTTTACCCATGCCTCCCTTTCCAAAGGACTCTCCCTGTGTTCCTGGCCTCCTCCTGCTCTGGTCAGTCTGGACTCCTCTATCGGACACATGGGGCCATCATGAATCTCCACAAGACGTTCGGACCTCCCACTGGCCACAGTGGGCCTTGGTCTATAATCCAGGCCTCAGTCTCCCCCTATTCTCTTGGGCTGCGAAGTCTCTGCCAGCTCTAAGACCTTCCCTCCTCCATTTCCACGCCTCTGAATGTGAAGTCGCCAAGAAACAAAGAGAAAGACAAAGGGACAGGTTAGCCACCCCACAGCGCTCCCAAGTTTACTGAGGTGGCACCAAAGCAGGCACTTCCCCTTACCCCGAGCCCACTCTGTGCCATAGCTAGCAAGCAGCTTCTGCCCTCTTGGACTCCTGCTTTGAGGCCCACATGCCCAATCCCAAGTCCCCAAGGAGGAGGCTCCTCACTACTGCCCTACCCCTTCACCAGGGTGCCAGGTCCATACAAGCTGCTGCCCTCTGGCTGGACAGACAGGGATGGACCACCTCCCCACTCCAAGCTGTAGCTCCTCTGCTTCCCCAGTGGCCCTTGGAAGCAACAGAGGTGCTGTACCCATTTTCCAGGTATGGGCACTGAGGCTCAGAGAGAAGTCACTTCTCGTCTTGTCACAGGGCAAGGGGCCAAGTCAGGGACCACTAGGAGATGCTTTCTTTGCTTTATTGGCCATCTGGGAAAAGAGAAAGCAAGAAAGTGTAGAATGCAGCTCTCAAACAAAGGGCTTTGTTTTGACATTTGCATCCTAACAACAGTCCTCAAAGGCAGAAGGGCCTTGAACAATCATGTTTCCAAGATGTTCCAGGCCTGTCTATGCAGTAGGCTTGCATTGTGGCCCAATAATTGGTACATGGTTTTGTTGTTTGTTTGTTTTGCAGTACCAGAGACTGGACGCAGGTCTTTTGCACTTAGCTCCCCGGTCTTTTTATTTTGAGACAGGGTTTAGCTAAGATGCTAAGTTGCCCAGGCTGGGCTAGAACTGGAGATCCTCCTGCCTCAGTCTTGCAGAGTGCTGGAATTACAGGCATGTACCACCACACATGGCTGCAATTGGTGCTTTTTAACAAGGGAAGTTTGGTGGGGGACCCAGGTTAGAACTGCTCAGCTCCATTTCACAAATAAGAAAAAGGATCAGATAAAGGGACAGACCCACCTTCAGCAGTCACTAGGTCCTGTCTAATTGAAGGTGTTCAAGAGCACCTGTGTTACTGCCTCTGAAACTCACAGAGCTCAATTGCTTTCTCTGTACTCAGAATAATCCTACCCTAATCCCTCAGAGCACTGTTGAAATTAAATACAACTGCATACCGGAAGCCCTTAGCTCAGTGCCAAGCACATAGCAAGGGCTCACCACCTGGGTGCTTTTATAATAGTTTTTCCAGCAGTAGTGTTAGTGTTTACCATTCACTTTGATTTCTCCAGGTGATTAAGTGGCCAGACTCTGGCCCTGGACCTGACAGCCTCGGATTTCAGCTTCCTGTGGGGACATGAAAACCAAAAAAGTGGACATGTTTGGTACCACTGTTCTGAATTTTAAAATCTTTTTTTTTTTTTTTTTTGATACCGGGGATCGAATTCGAGTCCTTACACTTGCACAGCAGGCAGAAAAACCACTGAGGTAAATCCCCAGCCCCTAAATTTAAAAATCTTGGGTCCCCAATAATCTGAATTATGAGTTGATCAGGCAAAGAGTAGAGTCACATTACCAGCTAAATATATACCAATGGTTTTCATTTAAATCTGCACAATCTCTCGCCAAATTTTTAAGGAGAAAATCCAGTGGCCTATGATTAAGCCTATAGCTCTGGCCAATCATCCTAGAGGACACTGGAAGACCCAGACTCCCACCCACAGATGGTGGAACCTAGTTTCCTGAAGACTCTGGGTGCTGACTGGACTCACTGGGGCTGGATTCCTGCCTGACTGTGCTTCTGTTATTTCATCTGAACAGCAGGATAAGCTCCCGAGTGGTGCAGTGACAGAGGTAAGACTCCTGGGGTGGAGAGTGTGCTCCATCCTGACTGCCTCCTGGGGCAGCTCAGATTCTCAAAGGCCTACAGTGCAAGCTTCTATCTGACTTTCCCAGGGCAACCCTCTGTGCTCAACTCTCACCTCCGTCTGTGCTTGCACCGGTCCTCTGTGCCCTGGAGGCTGAGCACCAATGCTACCTCCTCCCAGAAGCCTGCCTGGATTCTCCCCATTCCCCAGCCATTCTCTTCCGTGCACCCTCAGCACTTGTCATCTGTCATAAGTCATCCTCCTGATGTACATGAGAATCCCTCCATTTCCACAGACTCTGACTTCACCTGCCTCACTCCAAGGCCTCACCAAACAAGTCTGGCCCAGTATTGTGTAGAAGTGGTTTGATCTCACTGGTTCACCTTCTAGGTAACCTGCCCCAATGTGCAGCCTGCTCGGGTATCTAAGCCACATTACAGCTTTAAATGGCTTTGTTATTTAGGAAATAGATACCAATGTGTTTCATCAGTCTTGTGCTTCTATTCTCTGTACATTTTAACCTCTCTGAAATGGGGCTATATGTTCTGATGAATGGGCAGTGGGTATTCTTTCTTAATGATGTGTGAAATGACACTGCCTTCCATCAGTGCTACCTTAGATCTGGTGAAGAAAGGTATAATCCCATTTGATTGCTGAGAAAGTTTAGGAGCATGAGTTTGAGCCACTTCCCAAGGCACATGGCCAGCATGTGAAAGAACAAAGCTTTAAACTCAGGCAGTGAGGTGGGATTTGGAAGCCCAGGTCTTTGTGCCAGGCACTCTCAGAGATGTTCCCAGTGACCCCAGCCTGCTGGTGTTCACATCTTTGTGTGACCCCCTCCCCTTGAGGCTAGGCTGCACCTAATGACTGGCTGCTCCGAAGAAATAGAATACAGCAGAAATGATGGGCTGTCACTTCCGAGATTAAGTCCCTGGGGATTCTGGCTTCTGTCTTGTTTCCTCTCTCTGGCCTGCTCTCTTGCTCACTCTGATTGAAGACAGCTGCCATGCTGTAAACTACGCTTTGGAGAGGTTGAAGGAGCAACAGCCAACTCAGCCCAGTCCAGCAAGCTGAGGGTAGGGGAATTCTGTTACGAATGGCAAGGGTGAGCTTGGAAGCCCATCCGCCTGCAGCAGGACCTGGAAAAGGCCTTTGTGGTAGCCTGGAGAGACTCTAAGCCAGAGTCCTGCTAAGCCATGTCTGATTCTGGTCCCACAGAAACTGAAATAATAAACGTGTACTTGCCTAAGTCACTAAGTTTGTTTTAAGCCACTAAATCTCATTTAAACTACCAGGTTTAAGTGATATTAACAGAGGGATTAGCTCCAGAACCTGTGCAAATGCTCAAAAAATAGTGGTTAGAACCACAGGAGAAGGAGGAAAAGGCAATGCAGCCTGGTCCCTTGGCCTGCACTTCTCACCCTACAAGTAATTTGTCACACAACAGTGCACAACTAATAGTCTCCTGTATTTAACACCAGGTATTTATACTGTCGGGTCCTGGGGGCACAGATGAAAACAGTGTAGTTCGTACCTTCAAGGAATGCCTGGTCTGCTGGGGGAAAGCACGTGTGTGTGCTGGTACTCCATGGGCTTTGGAGACCTGAAGAGGGGGCACCCACCTTACCCAGCCCAGAGGGCTCTGGGAGGAGTCATTCCCAGAGCTGAGGTGCTGAAAGGTGAGAGCACTGGCCAGGTGAGGAAGTCAGGAGGTAGTAGGGAGGAAGGATAGGAATATGTATTTTCTTTTCTTAGTGGATGGGAGAGAGTGTCTGAAGATTACAAATTTAGTAGGAGTGTTCTGCAGCTGTGTGCTTGATGCATACACAGGCCAGTGATTCAGCCCGGCACATCTCAAAAGTCTGTGAGTCAGCAGGCTCCTCCTGATGCAGGCTCAGGAGAGGGGATTGGAGACTGCCTATGCGGAGGTTCAGGCGCTGAGGGGTGGATGATGGCCAAGCTGTCTTCTAACTGGGTTGGGGTGACCTGGAGGTTAAACAGAGGAAGGTAGGCAGGGTTGGAATAAACGAGCTCGGAGCCACATCAGGATCAGTGTTTGGGACAGGTTGGGGCAGAACATCAAGGCCCCTTTTTGTCCATTCTCTTCAGAGGCCCTAGCTTAGTGCCTTTGAGTAAGAGGTGAGCCTGGAAGACCTTGAGAGACCCTTCCCTAAGACAGGTGTGCTGGTGCCCACCTGTAATCCCAGCACTTGGGAGGCTGAGGCAGGGGGGTCACAAGTTGGAGCCCAGCCATGGCACTTAGTGATTTAGTGGGAGCCTGTCTCAGAATTTTAAAAAATCATAAGCGCTGGAGAGAGGGAAAGTCCTTACCCAAGGACAGCCCAGAAAGTGAGAGGGAGGAAAGGAGCAAGGCCAGGCCCAGGGGACGAAGATGAGGTGGGCCAAGAGTTGCAGCTAGCACTTCCCTGACTGTCATGGTGGCCTGTGTGGCAGCCCAGTCGTGGAGGAGGTGAGGCTCCTGGCTCCCATCCTCCCTCTGTCACCAACACAGGTAGGAGAACAGAGTGGTAGAAACATGGGCTTCAACGTAGGAGCCCCAGCACTGCCACTTACCAAGGGTGCTCTCTGGCTGGCTGCTTGCTCTCTGTGAGCCTCCGTTTCCTAATCTATAAAATGGAACAAGTTGGGCATGGTGGTACATACCTTCAGACCCAGCTAGCCAGGAGCTGATGCAGGAAAATCACTCAAATCTAGGAATTTGAGGACAGCCTTGGCCACATAGCAAGACCCTGTCAAAAAAACAAAACAAAACAAAAAAAAACATAAGCTCAGTGTGGAGACACAATGTCTATAGCCCCAATACTCTAAGAAGGTGAGGTAGGAGAACTGAGAGAATTCAAGCCCAGTCTGGGCAACTTAACAAAGCTATGTCTCAAAAATAAATAAGTAAATAAATAAAATTTTGAAACAGGACTGGGGATGATAGCTCAATGTTAAGGTCCTAGTTTCAATTCCACCCAGAAAAAATAAAATAAAATCCCCACCTCAGAGGACTAACGTAATGTTTAAATGAAATCCATAGAGAAATTAGCTCCAAAACCAGAAAAGTGCTCAAAACTAAAAGGAGTATGCCACGGATGTATGAGGTTCCTTCAGCCTTGACATCCTCTGATTCTAGGGATTCTGCTGGCCCCCTCAAGAGCCCCTTCTCTTCCCCCTGCCTGTGGGACAGAGCTGCTGGCAGTCTTACTTTGAGAGGCAGCCACCTTCATGACTTCAGTTTCTTTCTCCTTCTTCTCCTTCTCCTCCTCCTTCTTTTCTGAGATGAGAGTCTCAATATGTAGCCCAGGGGGACCTTGAACTTTTTATCCTCCTGTTTCAGCCTCCTAAGTGCTAGGCTTACAGGTGTAGCCCCCAGCTCAGTTTCAGTTTATAACCAAGATGACCCATTTTATAGATAAGGAGACTGACCAAGAGAGGAAGGAGTTTGCCAGTCATAACGAATACCACCAACTCTCTTTTACTGAGGGCTTGCTGTAGGTATACCAGGCTATGCTGTGCTGGATTTTAGGAGCAGAACTAGGCCTGGAAAAAAACTAGGCCAGGGAAGAGGATTACAAGTTAGAGCCCAGCCTGAGCCACTTAGTGGCTTAGCAAGACCTTGTATCTAAATAAAAAGTTAAAAAGTAAGGATTGGGAATATAGCTCAATGTAAAAGCCCTGGGTTTAATTCCTCAGTAGCTAAATAATAATAAAAACGGCTGGGGATGTAGTTCCAGGGTTCAATCTCCAGTAGTGGAAAAAAAGAGAAAAAGAAAGAAAGAAAGAGGGGGGGGGAAGGAAGGAAAGAAAGAAAGAAAGAAGAAAGATAGGGCCTAGCCTGGTGCCATACTACTTTTTAAAAAAATTTCTAGTGTAGTAAATACACCTAACACAAAATTTCCCACCTTAGCCTTTTCAGTGGACAGTTCAGTGGAGTCACATTCCCTCATAATGTTGAGCACCCCACCTCTGGAGCCCTTATCCTCCTTGTCAAACTGAAAACCCACAGCCATTAAACAAGACCTCTCCACAGCCCAGCCACTGTGTGACTGCGCTAGGTTGGAGCTGTCCTGGTTCATCAGAATATGTCTCTGAGTTGCTATGGGGCCACCTGTGTTCAGTGTCAACAAGATGAGTGGTGTGGACAGACCAGGCCACAGGGGTTCAGAGGAGGCAGAGCTCTTCCAGAGCAGGGTAGTCAGGGAGGGCTCCCTGGAGGAGGAGGAAGGGGGGAGGGGAGGGAGAGGAGGGGGAGGGGAGGAAGGAGGATGAGGTGGGGGACAAGGAAGGCACACTAAGAACCAGTCCCTTGGTCTCCACTCCTTGCCCCAGAAGGTGGGGTGGCAGTGGAGAGAGTGACTCAGAGATGCTCAGCCCGTGGCCTGCCCTTTGGTTTACAATCGCCTCCTCAGCAGCACCAACCTTTGCCCCAGGAGATCACCTGTCCGACGGTTGGAGGTGGCAGACCATCCAGGTGGCTCGCCAGGGGAACGGAAGCCTCCAGAGCTATGAGAACGGGGCTTCGCAGCTGCTCCTTGCAAGGACGGCCCTCCTATGGGAAGCTCCGGGAGGGACAACTCTGGCGGGCACTGAGCCTCCGGCGGGGCCGTAAGTCCAGGTCCCAGGGCCTGGATGGAGGCCCAGAAGGGCTGGAGGCCTCTGCTCAGGAGAAGCTGCCCGGGAGCCTGGGGGACACAGAGCAGCTGATCCAAGCCCAGCGACCAGGCAGCCGGCAGTGGTTGAAGCAGTACCAACAGGTATGGCTGAGGGTTGAAAGAAGGGCGGTGCCCTTGCAAAAGAGAGCAGGGCTCCCAGGAGAGGTACTAGGGCTGCAAAGGCCCAGAGCAGACGCACACAGGCTGGGGACCAGGAAGACTGCACAGTAGTCTGGAGGCGAGACTAGAGAGAGAGGCACCCAGGGGTCATATTTAAGAGGGCCCTGAAATTGTTCAGGATTTTCCCACGGACACTGGGGAGTCACTGAAGATTTTAGGCTGGGGATGGGTGTGTGTGTATATGTATGTGATATAGTCAGAGCTGCGGTTTTTTTGTTTGTTTGTTTTGGTACCAGGGATTGAACTCAGGTCCTTGCGCTTGTGAGGCAGGCAACGGAACCACTGAGCTAAATCCCTGGCCCAAGTCAGAGCTGTTTTAAGATGCTCGATGTGCTATATAGTATGTTGGATGGGTCATACAGCAAGAGGCAAGGAGATCAGCCAGCGCGTCTTCCCCAGGGTTACATTTTGTTCCCCTCTTACCCTGGGGAAAAGGAGAGATCCAGACCACCTTGGGAGAGGTGTGAGGCTGCTGGCCTTGCTTCTAGGAAAAAGGACTGTGAGGGGCACTTTTCCCTGGGGTCTACCCCCACCTCGTGGCTGTGTGTAGAATGGCACCCCAAGCCCACCACTCTGCCCTGGGCCCTCATCTCCCCCACCCTCGTCTTCCAGCAGGTGCGGAGAAGGTGGGAGAGCTTTGTCGCCAGCTTCCCCCAGGTGACCTTGAGTCAGTCGGCCTCCCTGTAGCTCCCGATGGACACCACCAGCTAGCAGTCCTGGAGGATGGCAGCCCCTTGCTGACCTGCCTCTCTGCGGCTCTTCTGAATTATGGACTGCTCCAGCCTTCGCCATGCGGCCCAAGGAGGCCCCTCTCCAGCCCACTCAAAGCCCCATGTGGCTGCCCCTAGGCCCTGGCCCTCCCACTCCAGGGCTGGCTCTCAGCAAAGACCCCAGTGGGGCTGGGGAGAAGGGGTCAGCTCTGTGCCCTCTGGGCTTGGAGCCCCCAGCACTATGATACACATGACTAGGTCTTAGGAGCCTGGCTAGAAGTGGAGGTGTCAATGGCCCCAGCCCCACACAAGACCCTACAAGATCAGTCACCTCCTTCCAGGACAGAGCTTGAGGAAGCTAGACTTATAGCTGAAAGGCTCTTAGACAGACGTCACTTGGTCACAGGTCCTACCTGCTGCTGGTCAGCTGCTAGTGAGGGGACAGGATACAGATACCTATCTGGACAGTGAGCCCTCGAGGGCAAAGATCATGTCTGGGAAGCCCTCAGTTCTGGCCAGTCTCTGGCCAAAAGACCCCACCTGTTTGCTGCTGCCTTCAGGCCTCAAAGTATCCCAATGAAGGAAGCAAGGAGAGCACATGTCGCTCTCCATGTGACAGAAGGGAAACTGAGGCCGGGAGGGCGGGGGAGAATCTATTATTTTTGCCATCTCTCACCCCACTTACCCACACCAGTCCCCAACCCTGGGGCTAAACACGGGAATAAAGATATGCTACACTGAAGTGAACGAGTTGTCCAGTGACTACGAACATGCAGGCTCAGTGCCTCTCCCCATCCCTGTAAGACTGGGGCTCTCCTAGCTCTAGCAGACCACAGTCAAGAGAAAGGGAGCTGTGAGGCCTGGCTGTCCTGGTACAGGGTCTGTTTGGGGGTTGAGGAAGTACAACAGATAGAGAAGTGGTCTCCTTATTCCCCCAGAGCCCAGAACCATGGAAAGGCACTCGGGAACAAGAGAGGTCCTGGGAAAATGCTGTCACAGACAGCCACCAACACCCCAGCTTGGAAGCTGGACGGAGCTGAGCAGAAGTCCCCAGCCCAAATGGCCGCTAACTTCAGGTGCTCCCAGCTCAGTCCTTTTTGTAGCAATACCGGGGCTGCCTTGGGGAACCCCAGGGCTCCAGGAAGCAGTTTGTACCCACAGCCCTGCCCAGCCATCTCAGGGTCTGCAGGAGGAAGCTGGGCCAGGCAGCAGGAGGGACTTTACATTCTTTAGGCCTTTGCCCTCAGGGCCCATTCTGGCCTCTTTGTTCCCAGAGATAAGGCCTGTGATGTGTTTGTCTACTTCCATGCCTGTCTTCCACCGGGCCAAAAGTTCCAAGGAACCTGGCCTGTACCCTGGGAGGCCAGTGGGCCTGGCACTCAGTAGATGCTCTGTAGTGAATGAGTGACTCTCAAGGGACAGGCTCAAGATCACACAGGGAATTGATGGCTGAGCCAGCCTGCAGCTCATGACCTGGGTGACCTCTCACTTGAGCAGAGCAATTCCTACAGTCCCACCAGCAACCCTGTGGGCAGGCAGGTAATCTTTCCAACAGGGTCCAGGCCTGTTAGAAAACTGGTCCCCAGGGCCAGAAGGCTGGCTCAGGGGTTCCTCAATTGGGCTACCACACTTTGCTCAGTAATTATTCCTGGGAAACCTTAATACTTAAATAGTGAAAGAGAGGAGAAAGGAAAATTGTTTCTGGAGGAGTCACCATGGTCACTGCTGGGCCCTGTGCCAGGTCCTCAAGGAAACAGTATGGCTCAGTAGTTAACTGCACCAGCAAAAGAGCTGGACTACCTGGGTTTGAATCTGGACTGTGCCTTTTGGTGACCTGGGAAAGTCACTTACCTTCTCTGCCTCAGTTTCCTCATTTGTAAAATGTAGCTAATAACAGCACTCAACTCCCAGGGTCCTGGTGAGGATCCCATGAATTCGGGTACTTAGAACTACACAAAATAGAAAAACTGTCCTCCAATCTAATATAATCCCCATGACAGCCACCTAGGGTGGGCATGATCATCTTTGTTCTGCAAGTGAAGGAATAAAGGCTCAAAAAGTGAAGTGACCACTCAGAAGCACACAGCAAAGACAAGGTGACATCTGGACCCAGGCTCATGCCAAACCCTAAGCTCTCTAAGGTTTCATGCAGGAACATCAGGCCCAGAGTGTGGACCCCCAGGGAGCCCTAAGGCCCCCAAC